TATATGTACAAGTCTCTGTGAGTGAAGCCGTAATGATTTCTCTTTCTGGACTCTCGTATAAATCTGAGTGAACACCCTTTCTCGACGTTTTTGTCACGCTATCTCTCCGTAGTATAAGTATACTTTGGACGAGTCCATCTTCTGTACAAGGTGTGAGCCCCACAATACCCTTGCGTGCTAGTGGCTTCTCGCCTTGCCTGGGGTGAAACGATTAAAAAAAACCTGCAAAGGGTTGATAAACCGTAGAAAACGAATCAATCAATCAATCAATCAATCAGTGTCTACCAAGTACAAGTCTTACGATTTTTATTATTATTATTATTATTTCCTTTGATGTTTGGTGTATAGTCATTTCTTTTCGGGTTGCAACTAGAGACCTAAGGTCAGAAATGACATCATGATATTTTCCAGTGAGCACCTTTAAAAGAAAAAAAAAGAAACTAAGATCATATTTTACATAGATGAAGCCGTTCGTAAGGTGTCGGCGGTACTTGTGAGTACAATTTTTTTTATTTCTTCAAGGTTTGGACTACCAAGAAACCCCTTCAATGGGGCTATTGGAATATTTTTCAATCGATATGTCGGCTCCAACTACAACTTGAAGTTACTCATGCCCGCATGTGCCAAATTTTGAAGATTTTGATTTCAAGTTCTTTGTATTTTGAGAATGTTTTTGGAGATCTTCAAAGATACATTACAATCTAAAGGGGATGGCATGTCAATAAGAAAGCAATTTTTGTCTTTGCGCTTCTAGGATCACAATGTCTGGGTGAATAGATTTGAATGTTCTGTCTTTGTGTCTATTTCAAAGTCCCATAAAATTGTTACAGGTTCTATTTCCGCAACCGGGTCTAGGTGGTGTTCATAACAATTTCTTGCAGTTGCCTTTCCGTAGAAATTGCAGATTTTCCAGTGCAGATCTCAATTACATCTGTCATTCCGGGTTTTATATTCAGTGGGTGCGAATACCACGCAACCTAATACAAGATCATCAATTGTTTCTGAATATTTATCACATGAATCTGCATTCTAGGCTAACAATGTTTCAATATGTGTGCTTGATAGTTTATCAATATTTGAAACTTGTCATCTCATTGGTGGATATTTTTCCTTCTAGTTCTGGAGATGATTTCACGTTCTTCGTCCAAGGAAGATAAATTTGATTTATTGACAATTTTGACTCTAATTCATCACTAAATTCTAAAAGTACTTTTCATTTTTAAGAGCTTGTATGTCATACCTTGGCTTTTCTTTGGTTTATCTGGGCGAAAGTGAGCTATTTTTTAGTGTTTTCAGTGTTTTTACAAGGAATCAGATTCAAAGTAGGAGTTGCATACTCTAACTTCTGTTACAAACAACGTAATTGGTGAGTATGAGATGCTGAAATCAATAATCTATATTGACTATAAATATTGAAGTCAATACGTTAATAATGAAAATGGTAATATTAACCCGTTTTCTTATGCGGAAATATTCAGCATTTATTGACTGATCAGCTAGTACAATTTGAATTATGCGTTTATTCAGTTACTGATCATCGGGATGAGATCAAAGTGTAATAACTGTTGTCCTCATCTCTAATAGTAAGGGTAATAGTGGGTGTCCATAAAGTCTCTTTAGAATTTAAAAAAAATGTTACAAAAGCAAATGAACAAATATGTGGAAATTGTTGCAAAACGAGGAGTAGAGTTTGTTTGAACAACCTTTTACACACCTCTATATGGACACCATATAGAAGCACTCAGTACTCGGTTTCTTGCCATGTTCGCTGAAGCATAGCCTCATCAATGGTGGCAATGGTATCAGTGATATTTTGCTTTAGATCAGTGATGTCACATATCTTTGTTTGATACACGACATCTTTAACATAATCTCATAGAAAGAAGTCGAGTGGAGTGATATCTGATGAACGAGGTGGCCAGAAAATTGGGCCTTCCCTTACATTCCACCGACAATTATTTGCATATATTTTCAGTTTATACGTTATTTTTGGAGTTACAAATATTTCAGTTAATTTATTAGAGAGCATTTACTTAAATATTTGCATCTATAAAAAAATAAGGTATAAACAATATATAAATATATATAAATATATATATATATATATATATATATATATATATGTGTGTGTATATATTGTTTATACCTTATTTTTATATATATATATTTTATATATTTTATATATATATATATATATATATATATATATATATATATATATATATATATATGTGTGTGTGTGTGTGTATGTGTGTGTTGTCCATAATGTTTTTTTTATTACAAAAGCAAATGCACAGTCAAGTATATCGAAATTCTTACAACATGAGGAGTAGATACTGAAGATTTTAACTCATTGAATACACGTTTATATGGGCGCCATTAGTTTCACAAAACACATCAAAACGGTACTCGATTTCTTGCTATGTTCGCTGAAGCATATCCTTATCCATGGTGACAATGGCATCAGGGATATTTTGGTTTACATCAGTGATGTTCCGTATCTTTGTTCAATATACGATATCTTTAATATTAGGTTGGTGCAAAAATAATGACGTAATAATGTCGTTTTTTGGCCTTAAAAATACGTAAAAAAACGACATTATTACGTCATTATTTTTGCACCAACCTAATATAATATAGAAAGAAGTCTAGGTAAATGAACGAGTTGGCCAGGGAATTGGACGATCCCTTTCAATCCACCAGTGTGGAAATGTTTGATTTAGGAACCCACGAACATGTAGTCCCCAATGTCGCCCTCCAGTTCTTAGGTTAAATATTTTCGTTTTGTAGCAACTTGTATCGTTGGACGAAACTACCCCCAAGACAACCTATTCTATTTTAAATTTCCTTATCTCCATTTCCTATACTGTATTTATTATAACTGATCCCTAGATAGAGATATTTGGGGTGTTTAGTATTTATTAATTCCACATTCTGGATCTTTTAATAGATTTTGGGAATATTTCTTGACTTCTTTCATTCCAATTACAGGTCATAATTTCTGTTTTGGTAAAAGGATAACATCCTGGAACTCTTGGTAGAGAATGTTGATTCTTTTTGTTCAAGAGCAACGACTCTACGATCACTTCTGGTCATAGAGCAGATGATGATGATGATGATGATGATGACGGTGATGGTGTTGTTATTGGTGGTGGTCGTTGGTGTTGGTTGGTTGTGAGGGGGGCATTCAAATCAGGAATTCTTTAAGGAACTATATCAACTCGAATAAGGATCATCTTAGTTAAGACCGCTAAACTATTCAGCGCCAGTCTATAGCACTTTAGCTTGATTACTGGTAAGGCTTGCCAGTGTATTTGTGCAGCGTTACAATTTTCGTACGCTTCGTTGAAGTAACGTCCATCGCAGACAATGTCTGTAGGACAACTAATCGACAGTCGAGACTATAGTGTCTGGGCGGGATAAAAATCTGATGCAATCAGGGATGACGCAATATTTCTCAAGGCCAAAGAAATGTCATCAAACATCCTGAAAATAGATTAATATTACTGCGCACCACTGCAAATGACCTAATCTGAGGAAAAAATATAAATCGATTAAACTCTGTTACTACAGTGGGTCTAAAACTGACCTTATGATGAAAGATAGGAAACTAAAGCGCTTGTTTTAATTAATTTGCACAAGGTTGTACATTCGCTGGAAACCATTTTTAACCATTTATCTGAGAAAGCAGTTGAAGACAGCTAAGAGTTTAGAATTTCTTTGATGTCATGCCTGATATCCACATGAAAGTCTCGATTTCACAAGGTTATTTAAGGTTTGTCTTGACTCCTAATGTTGAAGTTTTCAAGTGATGTGATTTTTGTTAGTTGGTAAACCTCTATGTAGCGCTGGCCTATATAATCTAAACAGAATAGCCTTCTTTAAGACTTAGAGGGTTCGTCCGACTGAAGCTATTTTAAATCGTGATTTGAGAAAATGGTTTTATTGTTTGAAAAGTTTCTAAACGAGTTGGACGCCACACATGACCTATAATCGATTCTAGATCTGACGGGGTTATTTAAGTAGAAGCATCGAGTTCTTACTTTAATGTTTTGGTTTTTAGCAATTCGTGATGTTTGGCAAAGCTATCACGTGAGAATATTAGTCTATATTAAATTCCCTTATCTCTTATCCTGACTTTTTTTTTTTTATAACTGATCCTTAGATCGAGGTATTTGAAGTGTTTAGTATTTATTAATTCCACATTCTGTATATTTTGATGGATTCTGGGTAGGTGTCATCAATGCTTTCATTTCAATTCCAAATCATAGTTTCTGTTTGGGAAAGGTTTATTTTGAGTCCTATTCTTCGAACTCTTGTTAGAGAATGTTGGGGTTTTTGTTCAAGAGCATCGATTCTACGACCACTTTTGATCATGAGACAGATAATTATGATGATGATGGTGATGGCGGTGGTGGTGGTGGTGTTGGTTGTTATCGTTGGTGTTGGTTCGTGGTGATGGGGTGAATTTAAATAAGGATTTTTTTTAATATTTAAGAAACTATATATGCTCCAAGAACGGTCGCCCTAGTTAAGATACCTCAAGCTACATTCGCTCGAAGCCATTTTTAACCATTTATCTGAGAAAGTAGTTGAACACAGCTAAGAGTTTAGATATTTCTGAACGGGTTTGGCTCCAAGCATGACATCTATATGAAGATTTCGATCTGATGAAGCTATTTAAGAACATGATTCGGGTTTCGGGTTTGAAGAGCAGCGAATCTGCGACCAGATCTGGTCATGGGACAGATGATGATGATGATGATGATGATGGTGGTGGTGGTCGTTGTTGGTGAGGGGTGCGTTCAAACAGGGATTCTTTTATGTTTAAAGGACTATGTAACTTCTCCCTATCTGTCTTCAGAAAGAGATGGACACTGCAAGTAAACATTAAGAGAAATCTACATCGATTCCGTAACGTCCCCACTTTACCCCGAAACCAACTAACAAGAGATCATATTTATTCATTCAATCTAAACAATTTTTTTTATTTTTTGCAGCAAAAACAAGACAAAAAGTAAAGCATTGGTAAGTATATTATATGTTTTTGATCTTATTATAAACATTATTTACAGTGAATTCTCATCTTTAATATTTTCATTCTTTTTATTTTATTCAGTTCGTGCATTTTGCGCCGATGTAGTCAACATTCCCCTCCATCTTAAAATTGTGGTTCATGGTGACATTCAAGATAGAATAATCCAATAGCTTGCCGATTCCTTTTGAACCGGGAATGTTGAGGTTACATTGTCTCTCCTCTCAGGGGTGGATTTGGTTTTGAAGTTACATTCTTCTAACCTTTGACCTAAAGTGCCTTGAGAGAGTATTGGGCCTCAAAATCACACCCGACCCCAAGTGGACTTCTTATATACGATCCATCGCTATAGATGAAGGTAAACTGATTGACTCCATGATTGTCTCCAGTAACGACGTGGCTTCTCATGTTATCCTCTGTAAGAGCCAGCTCATGGCCGCAAAATGGAGTACTGTTGTCACATTTGGTCGGGAACTGCCCAGTCCTCCTTTTCCAGGCTTGGTTGAATTCAAAAGCGTCTCCGAGTCCCTGTGAGAGAAGAATTATTTTCCACCCTCCAACCTTTCTCTCTCTCTCTCTCTCTCTCTCTCTCTCACACACACACACAGGCGGGATGTGGCGAGTCTCTCACTGCATTATCGCTACGACCATGGAAAGTGCTCGGACGAACTACATTCCTGGGTTCCGCCAGGTCTAAACTTCACGGCTAGGACCCGCCATGACACTTACATTGTAGCAAACCACCTACATTCCCTCCGTATTCCATTGAAGGAAAGTAAGTTCCATTCAAGCATCTTCCAGCGAACCACTGCTCTGTGGAACAGACTCCAGAAAGGACGTTTCCAGATCACTACAATCTTAACCTATTCAATGCTAGAGTTAACCGCCATCTTTTCCCTCTTATCCAGATAAACTACCCTTTAATGTCTCGAATGGCATACGGACGTTGTACCTTAGTGTATAGAAAAAGAGGCAGGACCTACAAGGTAACAGCTAGTTAGAATTTCACCCAATTTTATAGGACCCAATTTGTGCTTCTATTTTACCGATAGCGAGGATGAGAAGAGATAGATTTATACTTTTCCCAAGGGTATTACTATGTAAGTGAATTCGACTGGATTTCGGCATCGGCTCTTCGATTCCTTAATCCAAGCCGCTAACCATTATTACACGGTTCCTTCACTTATTATTTTAAACAATGGAATTAATGTCTACCGAACTAAAAATCGAACTCCTTACAAAAGTAATATATGATTCCCAACTTCCTTTATCTTTTCATCGAAGAACCTAGTCATTTAGCAGAGCGTTGTCAACCTACTATTCCACGGAAACGCAAGATAAAGCAAAGTTCAGTTTCCGACTTAAGGTACCTTTCGAAGTATAAATCTGCTATCTTTTCATTATTTACATTATTCGGACTATTGTCCTCATCTTTGTCGCCATATTTATTACAACGTTTCGGCCGTTATACGCTCCGGCTTTCGTCAGGTGGTTGGAATGTTGAACTGAACCCTTTATTTCGCTCACTGGCCGGAGCGTACAACGGCCGAAACGTTGTAATAAATATGACGACAAAGATGAGGACAATAGTCCGAATAATGTAAATAATGTACATAATACGTCATCTATAGACAGACACTTCTATCTTTTATTTTAGTACCCGAAAAGTAAGCAAAGCAATTTTGAAACGGATTTTTTAAAATCCGACATTATCTCTTATTACAGTTTTTTTTTTAGTGAGGTCATGTTTTGATTGATTTGCTTTTTACAACCTAACAACCTTTTGCATTATTTAAAACCGGAAATTTTTTGGGGGGGGGGGGATAATGATTTACTAATAGAAGTCTTATAATTAACCCATAGTTGGAGAAGGAGCAGATCCATACCTTTCCTAAGGGAATTTGCACGTAAGTGAATATAATAAACCCGACTGTAATTCGAACTCAGTTTTCCAATTTTAAACACCATGCCCTTATCCCTTACACCCCGGAGCGGGCTAAACATTCACACAAAATGTCAGGTCGTCAGAACTTTGAGTCATCAATTCTCTACGTCAGTCATTCTCTTGTCCGGATCTGCTCGGCAATTCTCTTCAACATCAGGATACGTGACTTTTATTGCATTATTTACATTATTCGGACTGATCTCCTCATCTTCATTGCCATATTCACAACGTTTCGGCCTCCATATCTCTGAGATGGGGTATTGTGATTAGTTACATTATTTACATTGTTCGGACTATTATCCTCATCTTCATTGCCATATTCCCAACGTCTCCGCCTCTATGTCTCTGAGATGAGGTATTATAATTACTTGCATTATTTACATTATTTGGACTATTATCTTCGTCTTCATTGCCACATTCACAACATTTCGGCTGATGTACGCTTCGGCCTTCTTCAGGTGATTGGAATGTATTCATATTTAACAAATAACTATGGGATTTTATTTTCCAAAACAATGGATTTCAAATCCCATTGTTTTATATTTTGTCTTTTATATAATTTCTGCGCAGTCAAGAAAATCATGTTCATTTTTTTCCCGACTTCATATCGCAATCTTTTCACACAATGTCTTCAACATTGCACACCTACCAATGCTTTAATTCTATTCGGGGTTTTCACATGAACTCTTTTTAATCCGATGTCACATTTTTTTCAGCAACTACCAATGACACTGAACTCTTTCAGGCCTGCGTTCCTGAACAATTTTAACCCCTCTGCCTGAGATCCTGAGTCAAAATTCGCAAATAATTGATATGTAATATTTCACAGTAGATGTAAAGATAGTTACAAGTGTTTACCAACTGTTCAAACAGGTAGCTGGTCATTATGTCATTTTTCTCTACGACCGATCAACTGGTTGCTGGACATTACGTCATTTTCTCTACCACTGCTCAACCGGTTGATGGACATTACGCCATTTTTCTCTACCACTGTTCAACTGGTTGCTGGACATTACGCCATTTTTCTCTACCACCGGTAAAGCGGTGGTCAGGGCTCAATGAGTTAATATCCTCCTTGGAATTATCCCTACCATTAACAAATTACTATTTTATATATATATATATATATATATATATATATATATATATATATATATATATATATATATATATATATATATTATTATATATATATATATATATATTCCATGAATATTGCTATATTCATCGCTCTCTTTGGATTAACCCTTTGTGCCCTGCGTTCCTGGACCATTTTAACCCCTCTGCCTGAGCTCCTGAGTCAAAATTCGCAAATAATTGGCATGTAATGTTTCACAGTAGATATAAAAATAGTTACAAGTATTTAACCACCATTCAACCGGTAGCTGAGCATTAAGTCATTTTTCTCTACTACTGGTAAAGCGGTGGTTAGGTTTCAAAGGGTTAAACATAGTCACACCACCAACCTTGCCACGTACAGCCAAGCTAAGGAATAACGAAAAATAAAGCTTAGATTAAAGGAGTCAGAAGATTGGAAGGAACAACTCGAGGAAAACGAAGAGAAGGTAAACAGGAAGCGGAGGATGAGCAAAGCGAAACTTGCCTTGAGTTTTATGACTTCTTTGATCTTTTAAAGAATGTCAAGGACACATGGCATAGTGGATAAAGGCGTTAGTTAGATCGAGTGAATGGACCGAAAAGAGAGTGAGTTCAATACCTAGTTAAGTTGGAGAGGGGAATTAACATGGGATAACTGATAACTGACACCCATTAGACATGGCACGTGAAACTAGAACTGTCTATATCAGCGAGCGAAATAATGTTCAGTTCGACATTCCAGCCACCTGAAGAAAGCCGGATCGTACAACGGCCAAAACGTTGTGATAAATATGGTAACAAAGATGAGTACGATAGTCCGAATAATGTAAAACGTGTACATAATATCTCAACTCAGAAATATAGACAGATACTGAAAGGCCGAAACGTTGTGATAAATACGGCAACAAATATGAGGACAATAGTCCGAATAATGCAAATAGTGTACATAATACCTCATCTCAGAAATATAGACAGAATGTGAAGTTTATTTAATATTTCCTCTTTTGATCTATGACGAGTAACTTAGGTAAAAAGGTAGGTATGTTCATGATCGACGTGAGGGTATTGTACTAGTTATTTGCGTGGAAAGTGAAATCAGCTAACCGGATTCAAATGTCAGTTTAGTCTGTTGTGATCCCTTTCTGTCAGTTGTCACTGCAAAAGTCATTAACCCCCACTCTTCTTCCACCATCTATGGGTTAAAAAGAAAGATAGACTAGACTCTTTAGCCATTGCTGGAAGCCAGTCTAGAAGGACTACTATAAATATGAAATTGTGGAAAATGCAACAGGAAACTCCTCCATCTTTTCCCTGAATGGATCATATAATTGCTGCTGCTACAATATAAAAAATAGCACAATCCTTCTCCTCTTCTATGGATTAAATCACATGGTATGAATTGTTCTCATTCTTGGATGGTAAGCAGTCTAGGACATTGGTTTGGTTTAGCTCTTTTTGTTGAAAATCTCATTTGGGTAAGAATTTTTCCGGTCTTGGCGCCCAATCTTTTAATGTCATTCAACTTCCATTTAATAATGTTGAAGCTGTATGTTACTACGCGTATGGCTAAGGTGTTGATAACCTCCATTTTATTGGTCCTATACAACATCAACACCTCTATGGGTTATTTAATGCCGAAATCTAAATATGAAATTGCAAACATTATAGTGTCCTGGGTATGACGATAAACTACATCGGGAGATTCTGAGCAGCATAGAACCACCTCTTAATTGCTAGTGTTCACAGATCTAACCTGACCCGGGTTTGTAGCACCTAATAGTGTCCTGGCCATGGGCAAATAGTAAACATCAAAACTGGGGCCAAAACACTATGAAAGTATAAGAATATAATAGTAACAAAATCATTGCTAAAGAACTCAAGAATTTTAAATTTGTTAGAACATGAACATTTGCGTGAACGCTTGTATATTTTAAATCAATTAGAGAAATAAAAATAGTTCTACAAGAATAAAAATAAACAACTTTAAACAAAAAAAATATATATATATATATATATATTTATCACCGAATAATAGCCGAAAATAAAATTTTCTAATTATGTGAATTTTGTGAGAGTTGAAAAAAAATTTCTTTTTTATGTCTCTAACTTTGACCAGCCCAGGCAGGGGTTGTCAAAACCAGAGTTTTTTCAACACTGTGGGTCCTGAACCTTCAGTGGGTCGTGAGATAAATAAAAATAAAAAAATAAAAAAAATACGTAAATGAAAGCAAAGTGAAAAATATATAAACAACTCTAAACAGCACTCATAAATCATTGCTAGTTTTTCACCGAGGTAAACCTTTAACATCTCTATCTATAAAAGACAGGATGTGTATGTGTGTAACGAATGCACGGCCGCAATTTTCGACGGATTTGCATCAAAATTTACATACACATGCTCCAAGTTAGCAGAAAGGCCAAGACCGACATTGCATTTCTCAACTCCCATCGATAGTGGAAATAATCGATTTTTTTATGCTTCTACGGCAGTTTTCATGTAGTTTGCGGCCATTTTCTACTGGCCAGAGTGAGAGCTTATAGCTGGCTGCCACGAATAGGCAGGAAGATTCTATTAGTCAGCGTGAGAGCCAACAGCTGACTTACACGAATGTTAAATAGCATGCTAGCCTGCAAAAAAAATCGATTGCTGCATTCGTCACAAGTGGGAAAAATTTAAATCAGCATGGCTCATTCCCTTACTTAAACTCAACGTTGATTCTGATTCCGCAGAACTGGGTTGGGTGTGAAAAAAATATTTGTTGTTAACATTCTTTTTCGTTCGTTTTTTTCCAGTTACGAGTTCTTTTTTTTTTTTTAAAGCTGATCGTTTTGTGTTCATTTTGTTTAGTTCTTTTTTCGTAACAGATTTAATGTTTAGTATAGAGCTTTGAAAAAATTCGCAGTGTGAGATAGGCAAGAAGTAAGGCATGTAGTAACATCAGCACGGCAAAGGGCACTCCTTTAAAGCCAAGGAATGGCAAAAATATTTTAAGTCAAGTGATATAGATTGATTTTTTAATCAAGCACGGGCAACGCCGGGCCATGCTGCTATATATATATATATATATATATATATATATATATATATATATATATAGTTTGTTCTGGTTGAGTTTTTGTATGTTGTTTATCAAACAAACTCGTTGTGGACTGAGTGACGTCAGTATTTTCTCACAAAGAGCCATCGCGTCAAAACTTAGCTACAAAGGTGTTGTCTTTTACAACTGCTTACTTGTGTGAACCGGGATTGTCCACATTAAGACGAAGAACAGAAACAGGTCCAACACTGCACCTGATATGCGTTTAGTATTGTCTTCTTGTGTTCCCAATTGAAATCAGCAAACAAGCACATACATCTCATTAAATGAAATTTTTTTAAATATTATTTATTGAACTTTATTTCTGAATCCTCTTTAAATTTGTTTTTCTAAAAGTAATAATTTTATATTCATCCAAGTAGATAATACAAACAGATACATTCAGTTTTATATATATATATATATATATATATATATATATATATTTATTTATTTTAAAATATGACTCCATCGCTACATAAAAGTTCTCATGTTTCAAAACAAGAGCCGAAAACTTCAATATAATTATTTGAATTAAATTGAATTAAAGTACCAAGCTCTCTTCCATCTTCAAGATTATTTACCTAATGAGTTCTTTCCTATTTTCTATATATTTTTGCACACACACACACACACACACACACACACATATATATATATATATATATATGCGTTCGTATTCTGACAATGAAACCCGGGTTCGAATCTCACTATAGTCGATGAAGAAGATTTCCTGATGTTATCCATCTGGTGGGGGCGATCCCAGCGTGCGGCACCTTTGGAAAGTGCCTGAAAACCATACTACGGTTTGACCCAAGCCTTGTAGACGGAACCCTTGGGTGACGTCGATAGCTGTCCTAGCACGAAGTCACAATTATCGAGGGCTTGAGTGTTCAAATTATTGATCACGCTAGATAACAGGTTATTTCCCAGAAACTGTAACTAAGGTCTGCTCCACATAATTGCAGTATAAGACACAGGTGAGCTCTGTGGGTGTTGAATAAACACAAATGTGCCAGAGCAAGCGTCTGCAATATGGATTGGCAAGCCACCCTAGTAGACGGGTATCTTCGAATACGAGTGGCCAGCTATATATATATATATATATATATATATATATATATATATATATATATATATATATATCAAATATGTGGTGCAGTTCAATTTTTATTACAATGAATCATTCAGAGAAAAAAATAAATTAGTTAAGTTAATTATATGAAATGGCGAAATCCCTTCGCTAACAAAATTTTAAAGGTTCATTAACCTACAAAACACTCGATGAATGTTATGATCTTTGTTTTTTAAATTTATAAGCTGTATAAGATCTTTCTTAAATACGCAAGTACTTTTGCCTCTACATTCCGTCATCTTCAGGCATGGAAATTATTTTGTTTTTGGTAAAATTCAGATAGCTTCTGAGACGAAAAAATATAATCCTAATCTAAAAAAATATAATGCGAAAACACATTTCGATTCGCATTTAATTTTTTCGTCTCGGATGCTACCTGAATTTTACCAAAAACAAAATAATTTCCATGCCTGAAGATGACTAAATATACAGTCGAAAGTACTTGCGTATTTAAGAAAGACGTTATATAGCTTATAAATTTAAAGAACCCAGTGAGGATGAAGTTTCCTTTAAATTTGTTTTTTTTCTAAAAGTAATAATTTTATATTCATCGAAATATATAATATTAAATAGATACATGCAATTCCAATATGTGCAGATAAAAAAAAATATACATGTAAATTATCGATGATAAATAAATGAATCTAGTAAACAGAGTTTGTCTTTATTACACGGAGGTAAAATGGGTCGCAATGCAAAATGGGGTCCTTGCTGTGGATGACAGCATAAAAAAATTTGGAAAACGCTCGTCTAAACTGAGTAGGAAGAAATGTATTATTCTTACATAAGTCTTTCACGCAACGGACAGATATAGTGTTTTTTCAAGCGTAGTTTAGATGTGGCACAAGGCCGAAAGTATGGGGCACCCAGTGAGGATCGAACTCACTACTCAGTTGCAATTGTTCTAGCTAACTATTGCACCACCACGGGGTGCCCACGCATAGCACAGATATATGCATGTATATTACATATGGTAATGCAAAGTTACACATAGAAAATGTCTAACGGACATAGAATTAATTCTTTTTTTTTTTCTTATATAGTTTCATTTTTTCTTAATTGTCAGGCCGTCATTTTACGGTCGTTAGAACGTTTTTTTGTTTATTTTTGTAACTATTTAATTTTTTTTTTTTTTTTACTTGGCAGGTATCCAGTCAGTTTTCGGATTTCAAATCCCTGGGCCATAGTACCGACTTGACGGGTAGGAATTCACAGTTCATTCTAAGGAAGAAAGAGGATTCTTCGTCAGACAGCGATACTGCAGCGAGATTTGAGCCTAAACTGAACGAGCCTTACAGATTGACTTCCCTCTTTTCGAGAGACACGAGGTCATCTCAAAATCCTGAATCTCGTGATGTTCTCGCAGCAAAAGACGAAACAGTGACCTTAGAGATGGCATCAGGCAATGATTTACCTTCCATGAACTCATATCAGCCAAATGACAATTTAATGAAAGATCAACAAAGAACAAGTTTCAGATATAGCCCAGAGAGTAGAAATATACCCGGAAAATCATATTCGGACAATACTGATCCGGAACGTCCCATAACACCTGATTATGACGTAAATTCCATTTTGGACGGAGAGGATGAAAATAGCACTTCATTTACTGATAGGAACAAGTTTTCTTACGCCGCCATCGATGACCTGAAGAAGAACTCACAGTTCCAAGCAAGCGGCTTTACTACTGAGAATCCAGGTAGCGATCTTTTTGGCTCTACTTCGAAGCAAGTACAATTTAATCCTTTGTCTTCTGATGGTGAAAGTTCTTCGATCAAAACCAGTCTTTTAAATCCAGGTACTTACAATAGTATACCACCAGCGCCACCTTTGCCAGAATCATGAAAATGATTAAAAAAAAAAAAAAAAACTATTTAAAAAAATGCCTCATCTGCGATCATTTGTTTCTGCCTCTCAGACATCGCTACACATTTAGAGGTGAAGATTTTTTAAAAAAATATGCAGACCACGGTTTTTCTTGAAGTAACAACATGGAAATGACTGTGTGAGATTTTAAATTTTAAAAAAAAGTATAGTTTAAGAGGAAAAAAATTGAAATCTAAAGTATTTTCGTTTTTTTAAAGACTATTAAGCAAAGTATATTTTATGTACACGTCTAACGATTATTTCTGATTCCATTATATTATTATTATTATTATTTATCAAAAGTATTTTTGTTTTTTACAAACTTTGACTCCAAATTTTATTTTATATTAATGCCTGAAGACTCTGACTCCATTATTGTTATTATTGAAAAAAAAAAAAACACAACAAAATGATTTGACGTAATTCTCCCAATATATTTCCCCACTTAGAGAAGATTTCGATTTAAGAAAAAAAAGTCATTGTTTAACAATATTTCGATATTATGTCCGTCTTCTTCAAGTTATGTTTAAAAATTATATGCAAGTATAAAAATCTACAAAAAAAAGTCTTTGTACAAACGTCTCTTGTCTTGAGAAAAACGGATGTAGTTGTAATCAATGCGTCAAAATGAATGAAACGTAGCCAGTGTGAACGAAATGCAACAGAAATTCGTGTAATATGATGGTGATCATTCTCATCTTGTAATTTTCCGTTATTTGATTAGTGACTAAGAGGAATTTATCAGATGGCTTAGTATTATTATTATGGAAATCTCCTGTTCATCTCCCCACCACAGGAGCTGAAAGCTAGTTGCATACGATTCACGTTGGCTACGTTTCAACCATTTTGACGCGTTGATTACAACTACATCCGTTTTCTCAAGGCAAGTGATATTTTTACAGACTTATAAATTTTGTAGAATTTTTATATTTTTATACTTTTATACAATTATTAAATATAACTTAAAGAAGACATACTGCCAAAATATTGTTAAATATTATCAAACAGTGTCTTTTCTTTTCTTTTTCTTTTCATAAATCGTGCTCTTCTCCAAGTTCTGTATTACTATTATTATTATTATTATTATTATTATTATTTCCTTTGAATTATGTTGTATAATCATTTCCTTCCGGGTCCCAACCAGCGACTTAAAGTCAGAAATGGCATCATGACATTTTCTACTGAAAATTTTTGTAAAAAAATAAAGAAATAAAATACAATAAAAAAGTAAAACAACATAAGCTCACACACATTTTACATAGATCAATTCTTTCGTGAGGTGTGAGCTGTACATGTGAGAACATTTGTTTTGTATTTCTTTAAGACATGGTCTACCAGGGATCATTTCAGTAAGTCTGTCAGAACTTTTTCCAATCAAACCGAGGGCTCCAACTACAAGTGGAAATATTGATGTGCTCATGTTCCACATATCTGAGGTTTCTCCTTCAAGATCATTGCATTTTGATAGTTATTTTAAAGCCTTCAAGGATACATGACGATTTCAGAAATTATTATTATTGTTGTTGTTGTGTACCGAATGTATTTTTTGTTTGATACATTTTTATACCTGTTGAAGCTTGGATAAGCATGGAATAATAATAATACAACACAAAATGTACGTAAACAAAATGTATTGAAACAAGGAAAAGGTACACAATATGTACAGTTAGTTTTGGTATATTCTTGGGAAGACTGTTCCTGTAGAATGGGTTGACTTAATCGCAGTCGGGCAGAGTCTCTGAATTGGATCTCTTGTTACTTCCCTCGTCTTCCCGGTACCAACCCATATTTATATGGTCGGTATTCCACTATGTAAATAAGGTGGATCGTACCACAACAATACCAAAACATATTCCATATGAACATCTTTCTATGATTCCACAATATCATTATTATTATTATTATTATTATTATTTCCTTTGATTTCTGACGTGTACACATTTCTTTCCTCCCAGAGACCTTAGAAATGGCATAATGACATTTTCCACTAAAAAAAAAAAATAAATTCACATATTTTACATGAATAAAGCCTTTTGTAAGGTGTGGGCTGTATTCGTGAGAACAATTTTTTGTATTTCTTTAAGATATGGACTTCCAGGAATCCCTTCAATAAATATAATGGAATCTTCTCCAACTAATCTGAGGGCTCCAACTACGACAGAGATTGTAGATGTTTCCATGTGTCACATTTTTGAGATTTCGATTTCATGGTCCTTGTATTTTGATAACTTTCTAAAGATCTTCAAAGATACACTGGGACTGCCATATCAAAGATACAAGGACTGTCATATCAATAAGGAGGCATTATCGTTTGTTTGCGGTCTATAATAACAATGTCTGGGCGATTAGCTTTGATTGTTCTGTATGTATTGTGTAGTCCCATAAACAACATGTAAGGAATCGTAAATTTTATACCATTTTTAAATTACATTTTTCATTTTCTTTGATTTCATTCTAAGTCTCTTTGACTTTATTTAACTTTCTTTCATTTATTTTTTTTTCTCTTTCCTCTCCCTTCCGTTTTTATTTATTTATTTTCTATTTATTATTATTATTATTATTATTATTATTATTATTATTTTATGGAAATTCTGTTCCTGAATTATGATGTCAACAAGACAGTTCACAATTCAAGAACTTTTCGAGGAATCCTCACAGCCTAAATGATGACAGTTTTTTGGTGCTCTACAATCTTTATTTCAAATCCAATTTACCCAGACTATTTTTTCAGTTTTCTAGATGGTGTTGAAAGCAATCCTATTATTACATGAATGAGTTCTATATTCATGAACCATAGCTTCTTCAGGTCCCTACTCAAATTATTATTATTATTATTATTATTATTATTATTATTACATATAATTCTTTTTTTTTTTTTAAAAATCTTTTCACCCCAAGCAAAGCGGAAGTGCCACTGGCACGCAACGGGGTTACAGAGGATTGGGAGCAAGAGTAAAGAAACGTGAAAGAGGGGAAAGGATGAAGAGAAGGACAGGGAATTAGATCAAAGCATCTGGAGACATTGCATTTGACATTGCATTTGAATATCAGGAGATTATAGCTACCAGGGAAGCAAGTAAGAGGAAGGGGGTTCCACAGGTGAGAAGTGCGAGACATGAAGCTATTGAAGTAGAGGAGATGCCTACATTTAACCGTTTCGACAGTGACGTTAGATGTTATTACATATTAAGTTATGTAAAATATAATACATTTTTTCATGTTTTTACTTCAAAGCCCTTTTCATATTCACTTCAAAAAACTAATAACTAATATTATTATTATTAAAAAAAAGAAAATATTTATGGCCTGCATTTGTTTCATGCCGGGTTATATTACCAATGACTTAGAAGGACAAGCAAAGGATAAGATTTCTTTTGTTTTCACTTAACCCCTTACCTGCCAAGAGCCCTATAAGGGGATCCTTTAAAATTAAACTCACTACATGTTATTCCTTTATATACATTGAATTGCTTACACACATTGCATTTGCAGAGGTATATTTTACAACACTTAGCCTTTAAAGTTTTTATTATTAGCCGTAAGAAGAAACTTTCTGTCGTAATTTTACATTTCTCGAGTAGAAAAATAATGACTATTTTGAAAAGTATTTTTTTTATTATTTCTAATCTGATTTTTTGATGTTTTATACATATATATATTTGATGTTCTAGTTTCTATAAAAACGACAATGGTAACTACTGAAATTAAACATAAGGAATAAATAAACTCCTAAGACACCTGTCTGGGTCAAAAATGTGAATTAAAAAAAATTGGCAGTTATTGGGTTAAACAAAAGACAAAAAAAAAAAAAATTGCAAATGGATACATCTCTTCACACGATATAGAATGTGCTTGTTTGTTTGTTTGTTTTTTAAATCGATTTCACCCCAAGCAAGGCAGTAAAGCCAATAAGACAAAAGGGGTTACTGACCGTAGAAAAAAATAGAAATGAGAAACATTGCTGGGAAGAGAGAACAAAATAAGTCTAATCAGGAGGGCAACAGAAAGAGGTTGGCATTGAATTGAAATTTTTGAAGATTAAAATTGGCCGGAAAGCATGGAGTCAAAAGGGGGTTCCACATGCGAGAAAATAAACTGTTAGCAGGGAATTTAGGATTGCATCTAGCCAGCTCAGCTGTAAATTAGTGAGACCTCGTAGAAGAAGAGACAAAGAAAGAAGAAGATGAGAAAGAAGAGAGAGAGAAAGAAGAAGAAGAAGAAGAAGAAGAAGAAGATGAGGAAGAAAAGAGAGAGAAAGAAGAAGAAGAAGAAGAAGAAGAAGATGAGGAAGAAAAGAGAGAGAAAGAAGAAGAAGAAGAAGAAGATGAGGAAGAAAAGAGAGAGAAAGAAGAAGAAGAAGAAGACCACATTCGAACAATTACCATAAAAGTATTTAGAGAAAAGGCACAGTGAAGCAACTTTACGTAATCTATATTAGGACTAATATCTCCATTTATTTTTTGTCTTAAGAATGTTCCAGCCATTTTGTCCCACCCAACCCCCGATTTTTTCAGGGGTTTGTAGATCCGGGTAATCTTCAGAGAATTTCGATCAGGAGTCTTTATTTAACTGACGGCATCGAATTGTTGCGTTGGTGTAATAACCCATTGGATTATACACATATATATTTGATGTTCTAGTGTTGTTTTGTGAATTTGGTGTTATAGTAATTTTGAGTTCATTCCCTGGGCCGGGTAGTCCTGACTTACTAGGCGGAAACAGGGCGATCAATAAGATCACTTAAAAAGAATGAAGATGGACAACAGACTAATAACAATTTCTTTTTTCTCTCCTTCCTTTCTAAACTCTTCATCATCCCTTTCTGCTACTTTCTTCTTCTTCTTCTTCTTCTTCTTCTGTTATACCAATTTTTTCTTCTTTTTTCTCTTCATCCTCTCTTTCTGGCAGATCTATCCACGTAGCGACGATGACATCTACCCCCGCAGCATCGATCAAATAAACGAAAAATGAAAAGAAAATGAAAAACAAATTAACAAAAATCTGCTCTCACAGTAAATTTTTTTACAGTAAGATTCACCCTATACAAGGCCTGGGGACCACTCGAGGTAGAGGGTTACGTGGATAGGATGGGAAGATAACTGTTGACTCTAGACTTGAAAGGTTAAGATTGTAGCGATCAGCGAAACATCCTCAAGGGGGTCTGTTCCATAGGTCAGTGGTTCACAGGAAGAAACTTTTTGAGTGGATTTTACTTTTTCCTGATGGAATATGGCAGGAAAACCAGGAGATGCAGCTTCTCTGGGAACTTTTCATGGTAATAGCAATAGAACAGTGAGAAACTCGGCACATCCTGCCTCAGTGTGTGTGTAAGTGTAAGTGTGTGTGTGTAAGTGTGCGCGTGTATCTGTGCGCGTGCGTGTGTGTAAGTGTGTGTGTGGGGGACGTGTGGGAGAGGTTTGGAAGGTGGAAAATAATTATTCTCTCACAAGGAGTCGTAGAGGATTTTAAACTTTATCTGGAAAGTGAGGTTTGGGCAGCTCCCTGCCAAATATGCCAGTAGTACCTCATTTTCGGTGTGATCTGGCTCTTATTAAGGTAGGATAGAAATCAGATTACTTACTGGTAATTTATTAATGAGATGCTCCGTTGTTATGATACCATATGTCATGTTCATTTATTGGCGTTCATTAATATCTCCTATTTTCATAATGGCAATATCGATTTTGTGAGAGCCATGATCACCTACGTCCTGAAGGGACACGACACATTGAAGAAGAAGAAGAAGAAGAAGAAGAAGAAGAAGAAGAAGATGGTAGAAAGAGACTATGATGAGTTTAGACAGGAAGGGAAGAAAAAACAGGAGAAAGTGATATAATAGAAGAAGAGGGTGAGGAAGATGAGGAGGAAGAAGAGAGAGCGAAAGAACAACAACAATAATAATAAGAAAAATAATAAGAAGAAGAAGAAGAAGAAAAGAGAGAGAAAGAAGAAGAAGAAGAAGAAGAGAGAGAGAAAGAAGAAGAGAGAAAGAAAGAAGAAGATGAGAAAGAAGAGAGAGAGAAAGAAGAAGAAGAAGAAGAAGAAGATGAGAAAGAAGAGAGAGAGAAAGAAGAAGAAGAAGAAGATGAGGAAGAAAAGAGAGAGAAAGAAGAAGAAGAAGAAGAAGAAGAGAGAGAGAAAGAAGAAGAGAGAAAGAAAGAAGATGAGAAAGAAGAGAGAGAGAAAGAAGAAGAAGAAGAAGAAGAAGATGAGAAAGAAGAGAGAGAGAAAGAAGAAGAAGAAGAAGATGAGGAAGAAAAGAAAGAGAAAGAAGAAGAAGAAGAAGAAGAAGAGAGAGAGAAAGAAGAAGAGAGAAAGAAAGAAGAAGATGAGAAAGAAGAGAGAGAGAAAGAAGAAGAAGAAGAAGAAGAAGAAGAAGATGAGAAAGAAGAGAGAGAGAAAGAAGAAGAAGAAGAGGAAGAAAAGAGAGAGAAAGAAGAAGAAGAAGAAGAAGAAGAATAAGATGAGGAAGAAAAGAGAGAGAAAGAAGAAGAAGAAGAAGAAGAAGAAGAAGAAGATGAGGAAGAAGAGAGAGAGAAAGAAAGAAGAAGATGAGAAAGAAGAGAGAGAGAAAGAAGAGAGAGAGAAAGAAGAAGAAGAAGAAGAAGAAGAAGAAGACGAGGAAGAAAAGAGAGAGAAAGAAGAAGAAGTAGAAAAAGAAGAAAAAGATGATGAAGAGTTTAGAGAGTTAAGAGAGAAAAAATAAAAAATTGCTATGATAGAAGAAGAAAATACCATATCTTAGAAAAGTAGTATATTTAACTTTACTTTTAATTTTAAAAAGCTGACTCTCATACCATACTTTTCCTAAAAAATATAATTTTCAAACTTGAGAAATATATAATTATAATAGAGTCAGGAACACACGCTTTGATTCCTGACCACTGACAATCCCTTCTTCAACTTTCGATGGAGATGAGAATGCGTGAGTGAGGCCTTGAGCATGTCGCTCTTCAATAACTAACCATTCCTATTTTAATAAGTATTGATTGATCCGTTTTCTACGGGTTATCAACCCGTTGCAGGTTATTTAAAGCCAGAAAATATTTCTAGATTGTGAGAATTAATTTGATATAATAATGATTTAACGCTATCTTACTAATTAACCCTTTAGTTCAGAGCAGAAGAGATGACTTCATACCTTTCCCAAGGGTATTTGCACTAAATGAATATGACGAACCCGACTGGAATTGGAACTCAGTTCCCTAATTAATAAATCCGATTCGTTATCGGACCTAAGGGGTTAAGGATTGAGGCTAGCTAACTTCAACATGGGATAGATTATTGACGGCCAAATTTCGTTCTTGTATCATATTTGATGTAACATCAATAAATACCAATTTTACTTTTCATTTTCAAGAGCAGGTGATGTTTCGTCTTAATATAGTCGTTGAAAAAATTCGTAATTCTCTCATTAAGAGTTCTCGTTTTTTTTTTTTTTTTTTTCAAAATGTTGAATGAAGAAGGAAGGAGAGATCGAACGAGATATGTGATTTATTGTTCAGTCCATCATGGAATGAAGTTCATCTGAGCACCTTCCACCGGAAGAGCAGAAATATTTATCATTCGCTTCTATGAGTCTCTATCTGACAATTGTCGACAACTGCTCGATTTGTATACATTTTCAGGATTTAAACCGCGTATGCATGCATAGACATAAATCTTGTGACACTTGATTATGTGCTTTGCTTTCTTTAAACCACGTGTAAAACTGGCATACCCTGTTAAACACAATGCTATGGTCAACTGGTTAGAAAGGCGTGCGAACTTGGTTCGAATATCACAATGATCATTTAGACAAAAAATTGATAATATCAGTCAGGGGACATGACCCCTGTTTAATGTAGCGTTGTGAAATGTTGAAAATTATGTCCTGGTTTGACCAAAGGCTTGTGGTTGAATTTGGCTAAACAAATCAGTTTTGATGATGTTAATGGTCATACTAACACGAAGACACAAGTCCGCACCTAATGGGTAGATAGAAGTACTTTAGCCTTGGTTCGGTAATATGCCTAGAGAGGATATCTTGAAAAGAATAACAATAAAAGGCCCAAGAACCATTCAAGACAGAGGGTTATTAAATGAGGTTATTGCAGAGGAATCAAAGCAATATAAATTCTTGATAAAAAAAAAAAAAATCATGCCTGAACTGGTGTCCCAGACACCGAAATAGATAATCTAGTCTGCTTCTAAAGATAAATAGAAGTGATTCCATTTATCATCTCAACAATGATAATTCTTGTAGATTTTTAGACAATGTCGACCAGGATAAATCTATGCATGGTGATCACTTCAGAATACCAGTTGCTATAAGCTTAGAATATCACATTGAAACACCGGTTCTCGTATGATCACCGAAGTTGAGCAACGTGGAGCCTGAAGAGTATCTGGATGAGGAAACGCTTGGGAATACCAGGTGCTGTAAGATTGGATGCACTTACAGGAGATGGATGACGGCTAGGAAATGTAAAAAGGAGAACCGCGTTCCAGTCGGGTTCATTCGCTAAAATACACTTGGGAAAAAGTTATGAATCCACTGCTTCTCTCCCCGGCTATGGGTTAATTAGTATGACTTGTTTCAGTAAATCATTAATTTCTTCAAAAGAATTCCCACAATTTAAAAATATTTCTGGCTCTAAATAACCTACAGCTCTAAGCTGTAAAAAACAAGTCTATAAAAAATACAATTCTTTTACTTTTTTTTAATAACGAACAACGTGGCTTCTCTTACTTCAGGCCAAGTGAACCTCTGAGATATACAATAAATAAAACAGTAACGAAAAGTTATGTAAAGCGAGGTTAATTGGTATTTCATTTTTTGACAGAAAAAAAGTTTGGCCGCAGACAGCTTTATGTTAGTATCAGAAGGTAACACAAAAGATTTCTTTAAAAATATCTCAATCTTGTTTATTTTTATACTTTAACGGCTTAGCTAATCTACTTCTAAGTACATATGTAGAAGATTATATTTACCCTCCCAGTGGAATAGTAATGATCACAGGAGTGTTTTTCTTTTTGACATCAAATAAAAGACCTGCAATACATATAGAAACTTAAAATGAATAACTTTTAAAAATATTTCATAAAATGGCCTTCTGTTATCAAGCTACATCTAAATACAGGATGTTCGGGTTATATTTGACAGATTCTAATGTGTTTATTTTTTAAGGATTAGTTTGGAATATCTGTAAACAGTAAACAGCATTGTGATACCTAGTCACAACATTTTTCGAGTTATCAAATTTAACTGATATGGACGAGAGGATGGTACCCGAATATTGGAAAACCTGCATCATGATGATTCTTGCCAAGCATCAAAATACTGCAGTCATGACAGCTGCTCAATGTTCTTTGAACGTTGTGAAAACAATAAGACGTGAAATGGAGATCTGCAACAGAGACTACGAGACCGTTGCTTGCAAGAAAGACATTCTGTTTGTCTCTATTTTGTCAACCATTCACACAAACTACTTACACTGCTTTACTGTGTCCCCATCGCCTTCAATACGTCTTCTAAGTCTTAACGTTTCCAAGTCTACTTTCCTCATTAAGTGCCCTAGAAATTTCCTGTCTTTTTATGATTCAAAGTATCATTTTTGTTTCTATTTTCTTTCAAACTTCCTTATTACGCGCATATTCAGTCCATGGTATTGTAGGTATCTTTCTGTCAAACCATATTTCTATTGTCTCGAGTCTCTTCCTCGTCTGTGAGGAAACAGTTCAGCTTCACTGTCATAGAGGAGGCCTGATATTACACAACAGTTCAGTTCTATTTTTTATTACTTTTAACGACATTTTCCTTTTTCTTAATACTTTGCTTAGCTTTTGAAATGTAAGTTTCATTATTCCAATGCACATTCGCATTTCGCTGCCACATTTTCCGTCCTCTTTATCACGCATTGAAGGCGACGGAGACATAGGAAAGCAGTATAACTAGTTTGTGTGAATGGTTGACAAAATAGAGACAATCAGAATGTCTTTCTTGCAAGCAACAGTCTCATAGTCTCTGTTGCAGATCTCTATCGTCTTATTGTTTTCACAATGTTCAAACAACATTGAGCAGCTGTCATGACTGCGGTATTTAGATGCTTGGCACGAATCATCATGATGCAGGTTTTCCAATATTCAGGTACCTTCCGAGATATTTCAAATTTTTAATCGCTTGATTTTGGGGTCTTGAATTCATACTTAATATTTTGTTCTGTTCCTTTTTGCTGACTTCAATACATTGTCTCCATACAATTGATGTTTAGTCCTTTCTTCTCCCTTTCCTTTAGTATCTTCTGTATGAATGCCTGTAGTTTGATTTTCTGTGTCATCTACAAATCGTATATCCTTAAAATTGTGGCCGCCAATAATAAATCCTAGCAGCATTTTTAATTTTTCCCAGTCTAATGTTTGAATAAGTCCAGTGAGAAGATATATACACTATTTACATTATTCGGACTATTGTCCTCATCTTTGTCACCATATTTATCACAACATTTCGGCCTTTCAGTATCTGTCTATATTTCTGAGATAAGGTATTACGTACACTATTTACATTATTCAAACTATTGCCCTCATCTTTGTCGCCATATTTATTACAACATTTCGGACTTTCGGTATCTGTCTATATTTCTGAAATGAGGTATTATGTACACTATTTACATTATTCTATTATTTATAATGAGAGTAAATATTATCTTATATTAAATATAACACTTAAGAATAAATAAGAATGTCTTTTTTCTATCTTCAAATGCGACAAAACTTTCTAATTATTTTCACATTTCAGCCTTGACACTTACGCGCAGCAAAATACATATTAGGAAGCGTTTCGTTGATTGGTTGTTCTCTTTCTAAGAAAAGCAATATCTTCCTTTACAAGTTTACGTTCATTTAAAAAAAAAGGTTGTTTTTATTGATGTCTATTTGTACAGAAAAAAACCATTAGGCAAAGAAGCAGGAAGTTACCCGGAGTTAGATTGTCGTGCCATTGAGGTCAGGCTTTGTGTTGTCACTTGGTCTGGTGAACATGAAAAATCAACAATGAATGGGAAACCCAAACTTAAAATGAATATATTTTAACAATATTGCAAATAATATTTATCTTAAGCGCCATGTCCTTTCAATACAGCGAATGCGAAAACGAATTTAATTAATGTTAAAAAAACTAAAATTTCTGGATTGTTTTTTTCTTTTTGACATCGAATAAAAACTTGCAATAAATATAGAAAAGTAAAACGAATATCTTTTAACAATATTGCAAATAATATTTATTTTATGTGCCATGTCTTTTCAATATAGTGACTGGGAATCCCAATTTAGTCAAAGTTAAAAGAACTAAAATCACTGGATTTTTACCTTTTTGACATCGAATAAAAATTCGCAATACATATAAAAACTTAAAATGAATATCTTTTAACAATATTGCAAATAATATTTATCTTATGCTTCATGTCCTTTCAATAAGATGACCATTATATCATTACGCAATTTCTTTTCTTTTATTACTCAAAGTAACATTTTATGCTTTACCATCCATCGTTACCCAAGTCCCGCCATTAATCAATTAACTTATTTCCTGTACTACGAGTGTTAAATGCTCGATTTGTCAAAGAGGTGACTTCTTGATGTTATTTTCCTGGGGAGGCGAAACCAGCGGAAAGGACTTGAAAACTATTCCATGGGTGAAACGCAAGCTTAAAGAAAAAAGTACGAATCATTTATTTATTTAAATATGGCTGAGTGTATGTATATTTGTGCATCCTTATACAGGGTGTCCATAAAGTTCGTGTGCACTTTAAAAAATTTATAGCTTTATTTGTATTTGCGATAGAAATAATTTGTAAAAAGGATTAGAAAGAAGTAAGTCTACATTTTTAAGGTTTCATTGAAATTTTATTTAAGTTTACATATGTCCTCCATCATTAGCAATACAAAGGGTAATACGATTTTGCAGTTCACGGAAAACATTTGCCAACTGATTTACAGTAATGCCTGAAATTACATTAGTTATTTTAGCTATAATTAAAACTAGGTACATTAAACTTTATAACATTTTTTACAGATTATTTCTGTTGCAAATACCAATAAAGTTATAAATTTTTTAAGATGCACACGAACTTTATGGACACCCTGTATAAGCATACAGAAATATATACTCAGCCATATTTATTTATTTCGTTTTTTTATCCGATGAGGCTTAAAAAGGTGTAACACGTAATCAAATCTAGTTTCAATAAAACGATTTGTCATATTCCTTCAAAAGTTTGTAATGGATTCTATTTTCTATTTTTCACACACACACTCGCACACGCACTCATATACATACATACATACACACACACACACACACACACACATATATATATATATATATATATATATATATATATATATATATATTGAGTGTGGTTGGTCCTTCACGAGGCCTTCATCACTATAATCAAATCTCATGTGTCGTTGTCGGGCTGTCGGTTTCCTGGAAACAGATCTGCTTGGCCCTCATACGTCGAAATCGACTGGAGAGTCCACTATATATATATATATATATATATATATATATAAATATAAATATATATAATGGACTGTCCCGTAGTTTTCGACGTATGAATGTCTTTCAGTTCTGTTTTTATGTTTGTTTCCTATGAGACAACAATCCTGCACGGAATTTGCAAACAAATCCACAGGAAGAGCACACTGAAGGGTTGACTGTCGTATGGGCATTATACATTAGCCTGAGATTTAGTGTTAATTCTTAATTCTCTCAGAAGGTTCAAATGATTCTTTTGAAAGTTAGTTATACATCGGTAGCAGGTGTTTCTATGGTTTGCTCGGTTTTCAACAGCAAGTTGTTTGCAGCAAGTAAACTGTATTTAAGTTGCTCCTTGAAGCGTAACCAAAGACGCTCTACGTTACGCTTATGATGAAAAAGTTGGCTATACATGAGGATTTTCGGCATTCGATCATCACTCATTCTGATGACATGACCAGCCCATCTGAACTGTGATTGCATCAGAAAGGATTCATTACCACCGATGCCACATTTGATGAAAAGATCAGGTTTAGAGATTTTGTCCTGCAACGTATAACCGCATATTGAATGAAGACAGCGTTTATGAAAAAACATTTAGTTGATATATATATATATATATATATATATATATATATATATATATATATAATATATAAATATAAAATAATCAAAAGTTTAATATCCTGGTTTAATTTCATGAAACCTATTTCCTTTAAGACTGATACATTCCACCCTCTCCTGACCACTCGTCTCGTGACTTTCCTCTGACTGAAGCAGTTACATGGATAAATTTCTGTATCAGTTTTTCGTCGTTTTTTTTGTAGGTTTCACAATTAAATTTCTTAATTTTAATCTTAAATTTTTAGTTTTTAAATTCTTAATTTTTTCGTCGGTCAAAATAAGCT